ATTTTTTTCTCATTTTGTTGATGTGATGTATTACATCTACGAAATTTCATATGCTGAAACTTCCTTGTATCTCTGGGATAAAACCCACGTGGTCATGGTGTATAATCTTTGTGATGTGCTCTTGGATTAATTTGCTAGGATTTTGTTGAGGATTTTTCAAATCTATGTTCATCGAGGACTTTGGTCTGTAGTTTCCTTTTTTGTGTGTGTCTTGGTCTGATTGTCGTGTCTGGTAATGGCCTTATAGGATGAGTTTGAGAGGGTTCCTTCCATTTAAATTTTCTGGAATAATTTCAGGAGAATTGGTATTAGCTCTTCTTTAAAGGTTTTGTAGAACTAAACAGTGAAATCACCTTGTCCTGTGATTTTATATGTGGAAGACCTTTTTTTTTGAAGAGGTTTTTGCTATAGGGCTGGTGCAGTCGCCAGACAGACAGACAGAGACAGAGAGACAGAAAGTGAGAAATCACCCTTCGGGGGGATGGCCACACTGCAATCCCTTCTCCTACATTCTCCACTTGGGATCTTGGGCACGCATACACACGTGCCCGGAGTGAGTTTTAAGCCACTCGGTCCGGGACGCGAACCACGGTCAACTACATGGGAGTCCAGCGACATAGCCATTATGCTATCTGCTAGCCCCCAGAAGACTTTTTAATACTGATTCAGTCTCATTGGTTGTTATTGGTCTTTTCACATTTTCTATTTCTTCCTTATTCATTTTTGTTAAGCTTTATGTGTCCAGAAATTTGTCAATCTCTCTTAGGTTTTTCAGATTGTTGATGGATAGGTGTTGATAGTAATTACAAATTATCTTTTGTATTACCATGGTATTTATTGTAATGCCTCCTTTTTCATTTCTGATCTATTTATTTGGGTCACTCTCCCTTTTCTTGGTTGGTGAGGTAATGGTTTATCAATTTTGTTTATCTTCTCAAAAAAAAAAAAAAGAAAAAGAAAAACCAGGTTTTTGTTTTATTGGTCTTTGTATTGGTGTTTTGTTCTCAGGTTTTCTAATTTCTTCTCTGGTCTTTATTTCTTTCTGCCTACTTTGGGATTAGTTCATTCCTATTCTTATAGATCCTTGCAGTGTATCATCAGACTGTTTAGTTAAAATCTTTCTTTTCTTTTTCTTTCTTTTTTTGATGAAGCACATATAACTACCATCTTTCTTCTTAGAATTGCTTTTGCTCTGTCCCAAAGGCTTTGAGTATGTTGTATATTCATTTTCATATTTTCCAGAATTTAACATTTTTTTCACCTTTATTTTTTCTTTAATATTCAGAAACATATTAGATTCCATGTATTTGTATAATTTCCAGTTTTCCTCTTTTTAATCATTTCTAACATTTTATACCATTGTGACCAGCAAAGAAAGATGCTTGATATGATTTCAAATTTACTTTTGAGAATTTTTGAGATTTGTTTTATGGCCTAACATCATGTCATCTATCCTAGATAATGATCCCTGTGCTAACAAGAATGTGTATTCTGTAGTTGTTGGATGCAACTTTCTGTAAATGTCTGTTAGGTCATGGGACCAGCAGGTGGTATAGTGGTTAAGGCACTGTACTCCCACATGGACAACTATGCGAGAAGGCATACCCTGGTGGTTTTAAAATCATGCCGAACATGTGTATATGCATGCCCAAAATCCCGACAAGAGAATGGACGAGAAGGGATTGTGATGTGGCCTTTAGCCCTGAGGGAGTCATTTCTCACTTTCCCTCTCATTGTCTGTCTGTCTGTTTCTCTCTCTCTCTCTCTCTCTCTCTCTCTCTCTCTCTCTCTCTCTCTCTTCAGCAAGTGTATGTGCCCTATAACAAAAATCTTAAAACAACAACAAACGTGTCTGGTCTTTTTAGTTCGTGGTGCAGTTAAAGTCTGATCTTTCTTTGTGAATTTTCTTGGTAGATTATCTGTCCAGTGCTGAGAGTGGGATGCTGAAGTCTCCAATAATTATTATATTAGGACGTATCTCTCCATTTAGCCGTAGTAATAATTATTTTATATTCTTAGCTGGTCCTATACTGAGAGAGAGAGAGTATTCACAGTCATTATTTTTTGCTGAGTTGATTTTGTACAGTAGTCTTCTTTATTTCTTTTTACAGTTTTGCACTGAAATATATTTTGTATGTCACTATAGCTGCTCCTGCTCACTTTTGGTTTCCATTTACATAGAAAAAGCATTTACATAGAAAATCTTTTTCCATCCCTTTACTTTCAGTTCGTGTATGGTTTTACAAGTGAAGTAAGTTTATTGTAGGCAGCATATAGCTGCATTTTTTTTTAATTCAGCCAGTTTTATATAAAGATATAAAGGTATTGATTGAGGTATGTAATTCATTTACATTCAAGGTTATTATTGGTAAGTATGGATTTACTTCTGCCATTTTGTTGGTTGTTTCCTGTTTGTTTGGGTTTTCTTTATTCCTTACTTCCTCTGTTATTCTTGATCTTTGCTATTTGGAAGTTTTCCAGGGTAATAAGGAGTTATTTATTTCTCTTTGCTATTTGCATGATTGTTCTACTAGTCAAGTTTTATACTTTCACATATTTTCATATGACATTTATTTTTTTCTTGCTTCCAAATGTAGGACTCCTTTAAGTATTTCCTGAAAAACTGATGTAGTATTGGGAACCAGCAGTTAGCGTCTATGTCGCTGGACTCCCACGTAGTCGACCATGGTTCACGTCCCAAACCCGGTGGCTTAAAATTCATGCAGGGCGCGTGTGCGTGCGTGCCCAAGATCCCGAGAGGAGAATGGAGGAGAAGGGATCGTGGCATGACCATCCCCCTGGGGGGGGTGTGATTTCTCACTTTCTGTCTCTATGTCTCTCTCTGTCTGTCTGGCAAGTGCACGCGCCCTATAGCAAAAACCTCTCCAAAAAAAATAAAAGAAAAAAAAAACTGATGTAGTATTCATGAATTCTTTCAATTTTGTTTA